ATATATATATATATATAGTGAATATACATAATATCCAATATCAAATAAGTATTCCTCATATGAGGATTGCATGCCTTTGCATGAAACTCAGTAGTGCTAGCAATGTTGGATATTATGTACATTCATTAATATATACAAAATATTTAATATACTTATATAAAATTGGGCACTGTTTTATAACACCTGAGAAATAAATATATATGTATGTGCAATTATATGTGCGTATACATATGTTTTTTATCATACATATATATATATATATATATATATATATATATATGAGATTAAAAAAAAGATTTTAAAAATTGTTACACTATAGCTTTCATGTTGAAGCACTAAAGTTGTGCCTCCTCAGGTGATGATAAATAACAGGTGACTCTGACCAGTTATTTACCATCACCTTAGGAGGCACAACTTTAGTGCTGAAATTAAATGTTATAGACAGTGGAATTATATTCGATTTGTTCTTATCCCATATCTGGATAAATATATATATATATATAATCAAATATAGGTAGATGTATGAGCGACTGAACATATACAAATACATATGCTCTATAGTGTAAGAAAAGATAGTGCGCAATGTTAAATAATAGAGCTATTTAATATAAATTAAGAAATGTACATAATACCTTACATTGATGTGTATGTTTGTGTTACCCCAAAATAAAAATACTAGCACTTGAAACTTGCATTGGCATGAAACTCAGAGTTGTGCAATCAATGTAGGGTATTATGTATATTTCTTTTTATATATATATATATATATATATATATATATATATATATATATAGGCAGCAATCCTTCTTTCATGCATTGAATATGACATACAAGATGCTTTGATTTAGTTTTTTATAAAAAAAACTAAAAGCACCTTATCTGTCATATTCAATGAAATATATATAGTGAGAGTGAGTGAAGACTCTTCCGTCATTTTCTGTTGCATGTGTGTCCAACAACTCAGTTCATAGAAGCAAACAGTCAGACTACCAACACTTATGATTTGATTATAGTGGTGAAGGCATGTACAAAACTGACCCCAATTATTGTAAGAGCTGAATACAGAGAATTGGAGCACAGCAAGTCACAAAGTCCCCAAGTAACCCCCCCACAGATTTTAAATTCAGAGTTGTCTTTCTCCTAGACCAGTTGCCATCCAAGGCTATAGAACCCAGTCTGTCCTGCTTTTTTGCCTTAGCCGGCAAAGAGATGAATTCATACCCTTACTTATGGTATTAACATGTAACTGAATGTCATCAATAGGAATATATATATATATATATATATATATATATATATATATATACAGTGCTGTTCAATAAAAGTGACTCACCTGATTTTTTTTTACTAAATGTTCTCTTCTCCAATGAAAGGAAACTTGAGCTAAATTCAAAGATTAAGCGATCTAAAATCCGAAGAAGAAGAAGAGCATTATAAAGTACAGTCTCGCGAAAAAGCAGTTGAGCAACCTACTCCATAAGTTCTCTATGGGGTTGAGGTCAGGAGATTGGTGCGGCCATGTTATAACACTCACCTGCTTCTCATCAAAGTATTCCTTCATCAATTTTGATTTGTGACAGGGAGCATTATCCTGCATAAAAATGAGCTTGGTGGGGTCGATTTGCACTCTTTCAGCAGAAGGGAGCAGACAAGACTCTAAAATTCTCTTGTACTGCTCGCTCCTGAGGATCTTTTCAATAGGTTTTAAGAAACCAGTTCCATGAAAAGAAAAGCATCCCCAGAACATTATACTGAATGGATGCTTGACAGTACTTACTGTTAAATTCAACGAGCTTTCAAAGCTTCTTCTTCGGATTTTAGATCACTTATCCTTTGAATTTAGCTCAACTTTCATTTCATAGGAGAAAAGAACATTTAGTAAAAAAGTCAGATGAGTCACTTTTATCGAACAGCACTGTATATATATGAAGCACACAGGAATAATCGATAGTGGCTAGGACTGAGGAATCCCTGTTTTCATTATGTGCTAATAGGCTCAGTAAAGATATGAGCCTATGTCTTGTTGGATATCCATGTGTGAGTAGACACCTCAAATTTGAAACATTACTGGAGAGCACATTTGAGAGACTTAACAAAAAAATGCTTTCCAGTAGTTCTTGAACCTGTGCTCTTTTGTATATGTAGGAGAAACCAAAGTTCTGATCTAGTAGGATTTAGGCCAATTGGTCATATATATATATATATATATATACATATATATATATATATATGAGGAGGCATGGTAGAGTAATGGATAATGACTCAGACTGAGGAATTGGAGAGCGGAGTTCAAATTCCAGTTGAATCCATTACATTCACTTACATGCTAATACCCTTGGGAAAGGTATTAATCCTTTTCTCATCCCTCCAGCTATGGATAAATAGCAGGACAGACCATGTTCTATAGCCTTTGATGGTAACTGGTTTATTACAGAAGAAATACCAAACTACTGAGGGAAAAAATTTGCCTCATCAGTCATGTATCGAAAGATACATGATCGCCTACGCGTGTATCACAAGTGGCATGTAATTGATATAGATATATATATATATATATATATATATATATATATGAATAACAATATATTAATAAATATAAATTTTTATTTTCCTCACTGGTAGCACAACTTAGAGTTGCATGCACAGCACAATTTTTAGGTGCTGAATTGAGATAGATAATAATACACCCGCTTATCAACATATGTAAAATCATACAATTCAACATATATCAAGATGAAGAGAATTCCTGCCAGTAAAGTTCCTAATGGTAATCTGGAGCAATAACTATTGTATCAAAAGTAATTAAATTATTGTGAACTTTAATTACTTTTGATGCACACACACACACATATATACATATATATATATATAGGTGGCACAGTGGAGTAACAGATAGTGGCTCAGATTGGGGAATCGGAGAGCTGAGTTTGAATTCTAGTTAAATCTATTATATTCACTTATGTGCTAACACTCTTAGGAAAGGTATGAATCCTCTTCTTCTCCCTACAGCTATGGGTAAATTGTGGGACAGACAGGGTTTTATAGCTTTGGATGGCAACTGGTCTTTTAGAAGGACAACTCTGAATTCAAAACCTGCAGAGGGTCATTTGGGGACCTTGTGGCATGTAGTTCACCAGGTCCCTGTATTTGGCCTTTCAGAAGGTGTGGTTGGTTCTACACAAAGCCTCCACCCTTATAATCAAATCATATGTGCTGGTGTCTGACTGTTGGTTCCTAGGAACTGAGCCACTTGATCCTCATACCTTGACTATGATGGGAGAGTCCACCATATATATATATATATATATATATATATATATATATATATATATAGGGCAGCAGATCATATATTGTTAAATATAACAGACAATGAATGTCTATTATGTTTTATCATGAGCCATTCCAAGCGTTGTATAATGGCTTTAGTTTCAAGAGAAAATAAAGACAAAAACTCTCCAACATTTGGTTACTTCTTTATGTTAGTCATCAATCTAAGCTTTCAGCTCACATGAGCCATCATCAGAGTGGGTTATATGGACATTGATGTTCACCATCAAAGATGGCATTCTGTTTTGTTTACATCGGAGTTTGTTATGCGATAGTAACAGTTGCGGAATAGCAGATGCAAGTTGTAAATTAGTAACGTGGTTCTATGACATCTTACATTAAGGTATGCTATATTTATGTGTAAAAGTATCAGGGATAGAGCGTACGTGGACTTGAAACAGACTATCGCCACTCGGTGTTGATTGCAGTTTCCACATATATATTTGATAGTTAATCTTTTCTTCTCACTTTCCTTTACTATCCATCAATACAGTATCCTGTCATGTTTCTTCAGGACATAAGCGGTCATGACCTTCCACAGCTTCTTTTTCTTGAACTTTAATATGTGTGAAATGTCATGACTTCTTGTGAAAGAGAGTTTAGTGGCTTCCCATTTCTACAGCTTAGCATTCAGAATAGTTCTCTACCAATCAAGGAAATAGTGCCCAGTCTACTTTGTTATTTACCTCATAACTCAAAATAGGAAAACTGCAGACAAGACCAGAATTTGGGCACGATTCACTGATTTCACTTTTCATGTTGATATCTGTTGTGGGACCCATACATCTTCTTCCCAGGTAATGAAAAAGAAAATTGTTACACTTATTTCCAGACGTAGACATTAATATTAAGCAATATGAGTAAATAGCTTTGCCTATTGTCTGGTTCACATTCTTCACCATTCCTTTGAACAGGAGTAGGGGTTTATCCCTTGTTTCCTTTTTAGGACTGGTTTTCTGAATCTTCTAATAAGTGCTTCAACTCTATTCTCCTAACACTTGTTCTTTCCTACACTGATATATGTCCAAACTGTAACCCTCTACCTTGAGTGGGTCTTGGGCCTTGTATTGAGTGAACATTAGTTAAAAGAAAAATTTATAAAAAAAAAAAACAAGTTTGGCTAATGTGTTTCTCATGCTGTCTTTCCAACACTATATCAGTGAATCGTTATATGTAAGTTATATAAGTACTAAAGTAAGTTTTGTAGTTTTATATTTGTAAAAAAAAAAAACTTCCTTTGTTCTACTTTTCTTATAGTTTCTTCATTTATTTATATATTTATTTTATGCAAGAATTACAACTAAGCTCTTTCCGGTCTTAAAACAGCTTATGTTTGCCCAAGGCTTTAAAAATACTTATATTGATTGCTTTAGACTTATATATATATATATATATGTGTGTGTGTGTGTGAGAGAGCATTGGGAGGTGTTATGAACTTGTTACTTATGAAATCTCAGAAGAATGCACAAGAGTTTTCAGGTTGGTGGGAAGTGGTAGATTATCACAATCAATCTTTGCACTATTCTGAAGATTTATGAAATGGCATCAATAATGTACAACTTAAAACACTTTGGTTTTTGCTTACTGAAATTTGAAATAAAAAAAATTTCAATATGAGGCCATTTCTTGAACAGCATTATTTTTCCCTTGTTCTCTCTTTTGTTTCTTTCTGATGCCTCTCCATCTGTACTCTCTCCCTGTTATCCTTTCCTCACACTTCTCCTTCTGTTCTCATTTCCTTTCATCTTTTCCCAACACATATTATGTTGTCTCTCAATTTCATACATTTCTCTTCATCTTTTCTCTCTCCCTGTCAAACTTTCCTGACACCTCTCCCTTTGTTCTCTCTTCTGCAACACGTTTTATCTTACTCTCATTTGTTCCCTGATGACTCTCCTTTTGTTATCTCTTCCTCTCAACCGCTCCCAACACCACTCCCTATGTTTTCTTATCCTTTCCTCGCACATCTTCCTTTGTTCTCCTTTCCCAACACATATTATGTTCTCCCACCCCCTTCATCTGTTTTAGACACCTCTCCCTCTCTTTATATTTTTGTCATACTCTCATTTGTTCTCAATGACACTCCCTCTATTCTCTCTTCCTGAGACTGTTCTGACACCTCTCCCTGTTCTCTTTCATTCTTATACTTTCCTAACCCCTCTCCGTCTGTCCACTTATTCTTCCCTGGTCTCTCTCCTTCTGTACACTCTTCTTCTCATCCATTCCCAGTATATCTACCTCTGTTCTCTCTTCCTCTTATCCTTTCCAGATGCCTTCTTGTTCTGTTCTCTCTTTCTCTCATCCTTTCTTTCTATCTTCCTCTCAACATTTCCACACCTTCTTCATCTGTTCTCTCATCCTGTCAGCCCTTCCCGACAATACTCCCTATGTTCTCTCATCATTTCCAGACACCTTCTTCATCTGTTCTCTCATCCTGTCAACCCTTCCTGACACCACTCCCTATATTCTCTCAACATTTCCAGATACCTTCTTCATCTGTTCTCTCATCCTGTCAACCCTTCCCGACACCACTCCCTATGTTCTCTCATCATTTCCAGACACCTTCTTCATCTGTTCTCTCATCCTGTCAGCCCTTCCCGACACCACTCCCTCTGTCCTCTCAACATTTCCAGATACCTTCTTCATCTGTTCTCTCATCCTGTCAACCCTTCCCGACACCACTCCCTATGTCCTCTCAAAATTTCCAGATACCTTCTTCATCTGTTCTCTCATCCTGTCAACCCTTCCTGACACCACTCCCTATGTCCTCTCAACATTTCCAGATACCTTCTTCCTCTGTTCTCTCATCCTGCCAACCCATCCCGACACCACTCCCTATATTCTTTCATCATTTCCAGATACCTTCTTCATCTGTTCTCTCATCCTGTCAACCCTTCCCGACACCACTCCCTATGTTCTCTCATCATTTCCAGACACCTTCTTCATCTGTTCTCTCATCCTGCTAACCCTTCCCGACACCACTCCTTATGTTCTCTCATCATTTCCAGATACCTTCTTCATCTGTTCTCTCATCCTGTCAGCCCCTCCCGACACCACTCCCTATGTCCTCTCAACATTTCCAGATACCTTCTTCCTCTGTTCTCTCACCCTGCTAACCCTTCCCGACACCACTCCTTATGTTCTCTCATCATTTCCAGATACCTTCTTCATCTGTTCTCTCATCCTGTCAGCCCTTCCCGACACCACTTCCTATGTCCTCTCAACATTTCCAGATACCTTCTTCATCTGTTCTCTCATCCTGTCAGCCCTTCCCGACACCACTCCCTATGTCCTCTCAACATTTCCAGATACCTTCTTCATCTGTTCTCTCATCCTGTCAACCCTTCCCTACACCACTCCCTATGTCCTCTCAACATTTCCAGATACCTTCTTCATCTGTTCTCTCATCCTGTCAGCCTTTCCCCGACACCACCCCTATATTCTCTCATCATTTCCAGATACCTTCTTCATCTGTTCTCTCATCCTGTCAACCCTTCCCGACACCACTCCCTATGTCCTCTCAACATTTCCAGATACCTTCTTCATCTGTTCTCTCATTCTGTCAGCCTTTCCCGACACCACTCCCTATATTCTCTCATCATTTCCAGATACCTTCTTCATCTGTTCTCTCATCCTGTCAACCCTTCCCTACACCACTCCCTATGTCCTCTCAACATTTCCAGATACCTTCTTCATCTGTTCTCTCATCCTGTCAGCCTTTTCCCGACACCACTCCCCTATATTCTCTCATCATTTCCAGATACCTTCTTCATCTGTTCTCTCATCCTGTCAACCCTTCCCTACACCACTCCCTATGTCCTCTCAACATTTCCAGATACCTTCTTCATCTGTTCTCTCATCCTGTCAGCCTTTCCCGACACCACTCCCTATATTCTCTCATCATTTCCAGATACCTTCTTCATCTGTTCTCTCATCCTGTCAACCCTTCCCGACACCACTCCCTGTGTTCTCTCATCATTTCCAGACACCTTCTTCATCTGTTCTCTCATCCTGCTAACCCTTCCCGACACCACTCCTTATGTTCTCTCATCATTTCCAGATACCTTCTTCATCTGTTCTCTCATCCTGTCAGCCCTTCCCGACACCACTCCCTATGTCCTCTCAACATTTCCAGATACCTTCTTCCTCTGTTCTCTCATCCTGCTAACCCTTCCCGACACCACTCCTTATGTTCTCTCATCATTTCCAGACACCTTCTTCATCTGTTCTCTCATTCTGTCAGCCCTTCCCGACACCACTCCCTATGTCCTCTCAACATTTCCAGATACCTTCTTCATCTGTTCTCTCATCCTGTCAGCCTTTCCCGACACCACTCCCTATATTCTCTCATCATTTCCAGATACCTTCTTCATCTGTTCTCTCATCCTGTCAACCCTTCCCGACACCACTCCCTATGTCCTCTCAACATTTCCAGATACCTTCTTCCTCTGTTCTCTCATCCTGCCAACCCTTCCCGACACCACTCCCTATGTTCTCTCATCATTTCCAGACACCTTCTTCATCTCTTCTCTCATCCTGTCAACCCTTCCTGACATCACTCTCTATGTTCTCTCATTCTTTCCCAGCACCTCTCCTTCTTTTCTTTCATCCTTTCCAGATCATTCTCTCTCTGTTCTCACTTCCTGTCATCCTTTGCATCCTCTCCATCTGTCTCCCCCCTCACTACCGTCCATTCTCCTTCTTTTTGACTATTCTTCATTTGCTATCTCCCTCCCACCTTTTCCCAACATATCTTTCACGGTTCTCTCTTTCTCTCATTCTTTCTCAGTGACTCACCATCTCTTCTCCCACTCTCATTTTTTCTTTTCTCAAAATATCTCTCTGTCTCTCTCTCTTCTACTCATTTCCCAATATATATCTCACTGTTTTTTCTCTCATCCTTTCTTACAGGGGTAGATTGTTCTAGTTCCATATGCCATGGCTTTTCTGGATATCTCAGTTTCAGTTACATCCCTTTAGTAACTCGACTTTCCAAGTTTTTTTTTTTCACCCCTGCTGTGGCCAGGTATTGAACTTATTCATATCTCTGTGAGGACACTTTTTATCCACTGGGCCATGTGTCCTTGTGGATTGATATGTCTCGGAAAGGAATATATTTGTTCGAAGTAGCAAAGTGGTTTTGGACTACTGTAACCAAGTAGGACAATTTAGCAGGTAACCGTAATGGACTGGTCCTTGTCATAGTGGTAGGCAATAGGTGAAGTCCCTGTACCACCACATCAGTCTGTATTTATGGCTGACACCAGCCAATCATATTACTGTGAAGAGGAACCCAGGTGTATGTATATTCATTACATCATGGATAAAAACATTGGTTTGGTTGAAGTAATCCAAAATATGACTTGACCCAAAGAGTTCTGAGCTCATTACCTGGCCCCAGCAGAGGTGATTAAATACAGCACCAGTCTATATGGCCTAATGGACTATCTTCAGTAAGATCAACAGGATTAATTCAGTTGAAGCCATTTTTAATTATTGAACTGGGATAGTAGTTTTATGTAGCTGATAGTTTAAATATTTCTGAACAATTTACACTATGTATATTGTTCGGACTGTTGTTCTCATTTTCACGACATTTCGACTGTTGTACGCTCTGGCCTTCTTCATGTGATATACGTTGGAATTTTGAACTGAACCCTTTATTTAGTCTACAGGGGGTAGATTGTTCTTGTTCCACATGCCATACCTTTCCTGGATATCTCAGTTTCAGTTATTTCCCTTTAGTATCTCAACTTGCCTAGTTTTTGTTCACCTCTGCTGGGGCCAGGTATTGAACTCACTTATTGGATCAAATAAAGGGTTCAGTTCAAAATTCCAATGTATATCACCTGAAGAAAGCCGGAGCTTACAATTGCCGAAACTTCATAAATATGACAATAAAGATGAGAACAACAGTGCAAATAATGTAAATAGTGTAAATAGTTATAATACTTTATCTCAAAAATATAGACAGACATTTCTATCTGCTCTCTCTCTCTCTCTCTCTCTCTCACTGTCATTTGTTTGCTTTCAATATCTCTCCATTCATTCTTCTTCTCTCTCTCTCTTTCTTTATGCCTCTTCATCTATTCTCTCTCTTCTCTCTCTCAGACTTCTTATATTCCACACCATCTTTTTCTTGCCTATCATTGATGTCTTTCTATCCTTTCTCTTTCTTCCTTTCTTTCTATTCATTCTCTCTTTCTCAACATCTTTCCATCTTTTCTCTCTATCTCACATTGCTCTGATGTCTTTCAATCTGTTCTTTCTCTCAACCTTCTCCGATATCATTTTGTCAGCTCCCTCTTTCTTTCTCTTTGCTCCCCTTTCCTTGTGTCTTTCCCTCTGGTCTCCCTCCCTCATCTTTCTCCAACATCCTTACACCAGTTCTCACTTTCTCTCTCATTTTCTCTGTTTTATCTCTCTCTCTCTCTCTCACACACACACTCTCCTGATTACTTCCTGTCTGCTCTTCATCTCTCACCCTTCTCTGATATCCTCCTATCAGTTCTCTCTTTCTCTCACAATTTCCTGTTTTCTTTCTCTGTGTTCTCTCTCTCCCACATCATTTTCAAAATGTCTTTCCATCTATCCTCTCTTTCTCAACCTTCCACAACATCTTTCATTCAGTTCTGTCTCTACTCCATCCTTCCTTGATTTCTTCCCCTTTGTTCTCCCCCTCTCGTCCTTTTGGAAAATCCTTTTCATCCATTCTCCCTGTCACATCCGTTCTCTCTCTCCCTCACTCTTTATCCATTTGATCACCCTTTCTTATTATTTCCCAATAACTCTCTGTTCCTTCTTCCACTCTTATCCCTCCTCATCACCTCCCTATCTGTCCCCCCTTCTCTCATTCTGTCTCGACCTCTCTTAATTCTCTTTCTCTTATTTGATCTCTCTCTCACTGTCCATACTGTTTCTTGATCTGCTTTATTTCTTCCCCTAAGTTTTCTTTGTTACTCTTTTCTATCTTTCTATCCTTTAATTTTCAATCACTTCTTGCTTCCTATTTGATAGAAATCAGTCTCGTCAATTACAAATTACATTTGCAATGTCCCTTTCTACTACTCCTCCTAAGCACTTTCTGACCAAACAGTGACTTCCTCCGGACATTCTGCTCTTCCTAATTTTCCGACCAAACACTTCTATCATCAATGCCACTGATGACAGCGAATGGACACATCCCCTCTGGATGCATCTATTTCTGGGTCTACTTATCCAAAATATCTCTTCCTCTTTACACTATAATTAACTTGAGTTAATTTTATTTTCACTCCTCAAAGTTACATCTGCGGTGAAGTTGCTGCAATGTCTGTGCAATTTCTTCATCGCATATGGCATTAGTTTAGAAATGAGTTTTGTGACTTGCAAAGAACAACTGAAAGAAATGAATAATACGGCTAAGTAGCATTCCAAAATGTAGCCATAATGAGAAAACTTCAAAAGTTTCTTCTCAATCATCTTTATTGTGTTTCGAAGCCATAATTTAAACACAGATTTTGGTTATTCATCTTAAGGAAGAGATGAGTCCTTGTTCGACCAAAGAGAAGATTTCGTCATCTGGGAAATTCTTGGAAAACAAAAATCTTTTTTGAAAACATGCCATGTCTCTTCAGGATGGAAGTGATCATAACTATCTACACATTCCTTTTCTTTCTTTTTTCATTTTAATCAATTCACCCCAAGTAAGGTGATAATGCCATTAAGATGTAAGGAGCTACAGGAAGTGAAAGTGAATGAGAAGAGTTTAGAAGGAACCAGAAACCCAATCCTAAACAGGAAACAAGGGATAAACCTCTACTCCTGTTTGAAAGGTTGGTGAGGACTTTAGACTGGATGATAGGCAAATCTATCTACTCCTAATGAGGAAAGAAATATGGTAAATAAAATTTCAGAATTTAGGTAGAGATGTTAGAAGAATAGAGTTGAAGTAGACTTTAGAAGGAACCAAAAACCCAATCCTAAACAGAAAAGATGGGATAAACTTCTACTCCTGTTCAAAAGACTAGGGAGGAGTGTGAACCAGATGGCAGACAAACCTATCTACTCCTATTGAGAAAAAAAAAATAAATAGTAAATAAAATTTCAGAGTTTACACAGAGTTATTAGAAGTATAGAGCTGAAGTAGACTTTAGAAGGAACCAGAAAGTCAATCCTAAACAGGAAACAATGAATAAACCTCTACTCCTTTTCAAATGACTGAGGAGGGGTGTGAACCGGGTGGAAAGCAATTCTATCTATTCCTATTGATGAGAAATAAATAAATAAATAGTAAATAAAATTTCAGAGTTTACATGGGGACGTTAGATCTTGGAGACTTTCGACATGAACAGGAAGGCCAATTCTGAAGAACAAACAAGGGATAAAACTCCACTCCACTTCAAAAGACTGGAGTCTGATTATCTATAAATTGCCAGTGCCTTATAACATTTAACACCTTCAAAATGAAAATGTTCTATTTTAATCATCTTAGAGAACCTTTGTCTTTTATCAGCATGGCTGGTGCAAACTTCCAGGTGAGCAACTCATTGCATTTTCTTCGTCTCATTTTTTCCACTGACATAAAGTAGAATGATTATATTAAATCAATTGTTCTGATGTGCTTTTGTCTCTGGCACCTCGACCTCATGAACTTAAGTGTAGTACTAGATTGGCAGCTAGGTCTCATCTTTTTATTGTTGGTATTACAAGATATAACCATAAGTTTTAATCTAATAGTATCTCTCTCTTGCCTGTAGAACTCTTTTCTAGCTTTTTGTCTTCCTGCAAACTATGTTCTTCAGAAATTTAAATACAATCTCAGTCACCATCTACTGTTTTTTTTTAACCTTTTCTTTTAATGTCCTTTCTCCTTACTAACTTTTTCTCATGTTCTTTCATTATCAGTAATCACTTGTGTCTTTGTGGTTTTATTGCCTTCCTTGGGATGAAACGATTGAAAGAAATAAACGATACATAATTGAATGTGTCTTCATGATTTGGAATTTAGAATTTTCTTCCTCTTAGACTGGCTATTAACTAAGGCTAGAGAGTTCAGTCTAACCTGCTATTTTAAATCATAGCTTGATGTGGAGGAAAATTTGTTCAAATGTAAAGGCTGATGATTTATTTTGTCTTTTTTGTCAATGACATTTCCCTTCGGCCTACATGGCTCCACACAGATTTCATTTGCTTTATTATTTGTGAATTGCTATACCTTCTTAGGAAAGATAGTGGAGTAGTTTCCCCACTATCTTTTCTGTGGTTTGAATTCAGTGTTTTCCCACTGTGAATGCTTGAGGTACTTTCTCCTTCCTAAAACAGAAACTCTCTTTACTTTCTATATGTATATCATGGGAATCCATTTTGAAAGAGAATTATAGGTAGGAAAAGAAAAGATAGTTTTAATTTTTTTTTTTTTTTTTACCTGAGGAATTCTGACTAATACATTTCAAATTAAATCTGAAGGGACATTACTTTCTGACCAACCTCTGTATGCATACATGTGTATATATGTACATATATATAATTGTTTGGAATTTGCAATATTTATAAAAGAGTACTCAGTATTGGGGATAGAATATATAAAGATATAAACAATGTGGACATAGGCATCAACACCTTATGTTTACTGGCAGTTTTAGTTTAAGTGATCATCCCAAGAAATGTATACACACTTTAAATATTTATTAACACTTTAACTTACACAGTGTTACCTGGATGTTCGTCTCTAAACACTAGAATCTTAAACTCTTTGAGTCAAGGTTCAATCCTTCTCCTCATAACCTTCTTCCTAACACCTCCCTTTACATTAATCTCACAGACCTTTAATAACTCTCTAGCTTAAGCGGCTCTCAAGCCTTGCATTTGGTGAATTTTAGTACATAAAATCAAGAATAGTTCTTTGATTTCTACATGCGCCCAATTCCAGTCAGATCGAGATTCATATAGAAGCGATGCATAGCACCATACCTGGTCAGGAATATCTAAAATGTCAGCTGTATACGACTGCTTTCTCAGGTGAATGGTTAAAAATGGCTTTGAGCAAGTGAAGCCTGGGATTTGGGCAAAGACCATCCTTCTTTGGACATTGTAGACTGGCGCTACAGAATCACAAACAAAAATCTTTGCCAGGTAACAGAAGCCACATCACTTAAGGACTACCAACAGCAGTAACAACTAAAATGGATAGCACATGTAACTCAAAAAGAAAATAATGACATAATCTAGATGTTGATGTTCCACACTACTTCAAACAAAAGGTTAGGAAGGAAATCTCCATAAATATTAGAAAGAGTGTGAACAGCTACTGGACTTGATAAACGTATTTTCCTGAAAAAATGTTTTAATACAAAGATTTTCAACCAAAAGTATACTGGCTACTCGGTCAATGAATGCCAAATGTTTCCTTATAAGGAAACAGCTAATATTACTATTATAAAAGAAGATTAAAGGTAAGAAAAGCAAAGATAATATCATATTTTTTTAACCTCAGCTTCCAAATAATTTATGACAGAAAAAAAAAAACAGATAAAGGGGGCAGAATTCTGACTAATAGATTTAAAATTAAATTAGAACAAACATTATTTTCTGACCAAACTTTGTGTATACATGAGTGTGTATAATTGTTTAGAATTTTTAATATTTATGAAAGAAGATTGCTCAGTAATGGCAATGGTAGAATCAACACCCCATGGTAGCAGGCAGTTTCTAACTTCAGTGATCATACGACGAGTCTGATGGTTGGGTGTCCCAACCAAAAGGAATACACTATTTGAATATTTATTAACACTTTTACTGCTGCATTGTTATAGCATTGTTGACTGGCTGTGCTGGCCCATTTTGAGAAAAAAACAGGAAATTGCTATTTAATGAATATAAATGACTATAAGGCTGCTGACAGTAATTTCTTGTGGGTACTGCCATTTTTGTTTTGGTTAGACATCCCGATTCAAGAGCCACTCAAGACAGAGCATTACAGACCAGGGTGATACTCACACCACAAGACAATTTTGCTTTGTTAGGACTAAAGCACCAACTAGGTTATTGGGGGTGGAGGAGAATGGCTGCTCACGGTATTTAACAAAACTAATTCTACTTAAGTCATATATTTTGGCAATTTTTCTCAGGTAGCTTAGAAGATTACAATTATATTCTGAGTTGGCTCTGTTTTGATTACTTAAATATCAGAGGTATTACAAATATAATAAGCAACCTCCTACAATCAGAAATATATGTCAGCTTTGAATAACCCGCAGATGGTCGATAAGATGTAAAAATCAAATCAATCACTCAGTTACAAATTCTAGAATGATTGCTCCAATGAACATTCTTTCCTTTTCTTATTTATTGTACAATAAATTCAAACTATAGTCTTTCAGTTTTCATTGCACAAACAGTGAGTCTTACAGCCACATCACATTGAAACACCAGTTACTTTATGATCACTGAAATTAAGCAATGTTCTACCTGATCAGTACCTGGATGGGTGACCACTTTGGAATACCAGTTGCTCTAAGTTTGGATATGTGGGTGGTGTAATGGATAGTGGCATGGAATTGTTAATCAGAGAACTGAGTTGCAGTTCCCACTGGTTTTGTTATTTTCCCTTGGGAAACATACGAATCCACCTCTTCTCCCCACAGCAATTGGTTAATTAGTAAGATTTGTATCACTAAATTTTCTTTAAAAAAATTCTTACAATTTAAAAATATTTTCTGGCTTTAATTAACCTGCAAATGGTTGATAACCCATAAAAAACGCATCACCCAACCAGCCAACAGTGATACGCCTTCCTAGTACTGCCTGTCTTAACTTTTTATTTCATATTTTGACAAATTTTCTGAATGTGTTTATGAAAAATGAAAATTGCTCAATTTTCTAAAACTCGATCAA